CCTTTCCTTTTTCTCGGAGATGGAAATGCCTATTGGGAAATGAAGAAGGAGAAAGAAGCCTTCCAAAATTTGAGGAAGCTATTACCTTTAGGTTTCCAGATGCAGATAAGAATTCTCTCTCCTTCCATTCTCTTGATGTTTTGAGACATTCTGATTCTACTAGTTCCATTTTTAAAGCTTTAAAGTCCTGATGTGGTGCTATAGGATAAGCTAACTGCAAAGTCGGCAGTTCAAACCCACCAGACTCAGAAATCCTATATAGACTTACTATGAGTCAGAATTGACTAGATAGTACTTAACAACAACATCAATGTATCTTTATTTGGAAAGGTAGCAGTAAATATAGACCTGCTGCATTACTTTTAAAAGCTAATTTATCAAGTTACTCCATCTTTTTGGGTCTAAAGATTATTTCTAGCATAGTCAACATAGCAGTTTTTCATTACCTAAAAGTTACATCTTTCCCAGTAATTACTTCCTTAATTTTGTTCTTGCTAGGCAAAGTCATTTGACAATTCTTTTTTTTTTTGCATGTGAAAATAAGTCAAGTCATTACTCTGGAAATAATTTCTGGTTTTATGTATAGGTTTCTAATAATTTATGACTTGAAGAAATTAGCTTGTTATAACAAACTATAAACAGCTTCTATGTTTAAAGTTTCATCCCTTCTGAAAAGAACTATAGTTGCTGACATTCTTTTTGTACTTTATTCTTCTAACTGCCATCTGAAGTTTTAAAGGGACTTTATAAGAATGGTCTGTTAATATGAGTGAAAACTTTGTGCTTAAGAGAAATCATGAAACCCAGAAGAATTCATGTACTGCTGTGTAACAGCATTCCAAACAGAGGGGTCTGTGCATAGAAGGATGGTGTCTCTGTGTGTCTGCATAGGTGTGAATCCATGTGAGTGTGTGCATGTGTGTGTCTGTGTGTGTGTATGTTGAGTAAGAGGTGATGTGGGAGACCCTCAATCTAGGATGAAATTTTACACTCCTTTTCTCACTGTATCTTTCGACCCTTATGCTTCTCAGTAATGATGTCATTTTTGTTCAAATAAGACTGAAGAAACAGCCAAGGAGGGAGCAGAAGGAGAAGCAGAGGAAGCAGAGGACGAAGCTGAAAAAGGAGAAGAAGACCCAGGAGAAGAAGAAGATGCATAGACCTTTTCATGCTTTATTTCTTCAAGTTTTCCAGGTAGCTACATGATTCTGACATTGAAAAACTTGTTTATTGTGGTTACATTGTATTACAATTCACAATTCCCAGACACACACCTCTCTTACCAAGATACTGGCCTGCACCCCTTACATTTCCCTGTCTCCTTTCTAGAGTCACAGATCATGTGAACCCCATTGGGTCTGTTTCTTAGATCTAATGCACCAGATGCTATGTTGTTGTTGTTAAATGCTGTCAAGTCAGGTCTGACTCATAGCGACCTTATATAGGGTTTCCAAGGAGTAGGTGCCAACCATGTGGTTTGTAGCCCAGTACGGATCCTACAATGCCACACAAGATGTCATTGTCTATATTACTTCTAGGAAAATATGTACCTTTGAAGTAAAGAAGAGTTTTGTTTTGTAGTTATTTCCCCCATTTCCTTGAATGTTCTAATACTTAGACTCCTGGGCTGCCAAAAGAACCAACAGATCTGTGTTGGAAGAAGTGCAGCCAGAGTGCTTCTTGGAGGCCAGGATGGCCAAACTTCATCTCTCATACTTTGGACATATTGTCAGTGGGGACCAGTCACTGGAGAAGGATATTATGTTTGGTAAGGTGGAGGAAGACCCCCAGCGAGATGGATTGGCAAAGTAGCAATAGATTCAAGTGTGGCAACAATTGTGAGGTTGCCCAGGACCGGGCAGTGTTTTGTTCTGTTGTGCATAAGGTTGCTATGAGTTGGTACCGACTCAATGGCACTTAAAAACAACAACAGTAACTGACCTGTAAGGTACTCTGGTAGTGTAGTGGGTATGAGTCTGTCACCAGTTTGAAAGCACCAGCTGTTGCATGGGAGAAATATGAGGCTTTCTGCTCCTGTAAAGATTTATAGCCTCAAAAACCTGATGCAGGGTCGCTATGAGTTGGAATCAACTCCGCAGCACACCACCACCACCACCACTGATCAGTACAGTGGCAGATTTGCAGGTGAGAACAATTGATGTGCATAGCAATGGCAATAAATTGCAGACTTAACAAACATTCACAAAGAGGACTGTTGATTCACGAAAGCATATTATTACTGCTAGAGTACTAGTGATAAGTGCTTGTCATTACATTTTCATTTATTAACTATAAACTGGAGGCCTGGTGTGGCACTGTGTGAGAATTCACTGGACTGCAAGGTCAGTTTGAATGGCAAGGTCAGTGATTCAAATTCACCAACCGCTCCTTGGAAACCCTATACAGGGTCACTCTGAGTCGGAACTGATGCAAAGGCACTTAACAACAACAAGAAGAAGTATAAATCAGCGCACTCGTGTAGAAACACCATGGAACATGGTGAAGTCATTTCAGGTATCTTTGACAATATTCAATCAAGCAATAGATAGGTATATAGGGGAACAATAATACTAACAAGGTATGCACACCATAGAATGGGCAACATTCGAGATCAAAAGGGCAACATTTACCCAAGGACAAGTTCAGAAGTTTTGGCAAATAAGAAAGAAATGAAACAGGACATGTAGGGAGGAAATGGGATAAGTGATGGTACATTGAGTGCATTGAAATCATTGAGGAGAAACAAATGTATGATTTTCTGAATATAAAACTTTGGGAACCTTCACTCAATTCATATTAAAAATAAAAACAAACAAACAAAAAGATAGTGATAATACCCAGTGATAGAGATCACTAAATGTTACATATATAACAAATATTAGTAGTCATATGGAAAATATTTATGTAAAGTTTCATTTTTATTATTATTATAATTTTCACTACAACCAAAGTCAAGTTAGCAATTTCTTCTCGAGGGCAATAATGCTTATATTTTTGCTCTATTTACTTCTGCTTGGCAAAATTACTGCGTTTTAATGTGGTAACTATGAAAAAATACTGAGTGTAAAGTGGCACAGCCGAAAGAGAATCCTTAATGTTGCCCATTGGCTTTATATTGTTGTTGATAAGTGCCTTCGAGTCAGTTCTGACACATAGCAACCCTGTATAGGGTTTCAGAAGAGTGGCTGGTGGATTTAAACTGCTGACCTTGTGGTTAGCAATCTGGTGCTTGTCCTACAGTGCCACATCAGGACTCCATGGTTTTATGTTGTTGTTGGTAAGTGTAGTCGAGTCGGTTCTGACCCATAGCAACCCTGTATAGGGTTTCCAAGGAGCAGCTGGTGAGTTTAAACTGCTGACCTTGTAGTTCAAACAGATTTGCAGTCTGGCACATTAATCCACAGCACCATATCAGGAGTCAAAATACAGCTTGTGGCCAGCACATTTTGCTGTTTCTACGATCACGTCTAGTTCAGACTCAGTGAATCGTATGCTGTTGTGAAGTCACAGCACATGATGGTGAAGGAGGGCAGCAGTCAGCACTCAGAATCCTCTGCCTCTTTTCACAGAGAGGTCCACCAGCTGCTCCTAATGTAAGATGGCAGTTCACTTAGGCAGCTTTGTGAACCATCTGGGCTTCATAAGATAAAGTCATGCTATAATGCATAGATGCCCCAGGCATTTTATTTGAGATGATAATTTTAGAGAGAAACAGGACAATACATGGAATTCTGACAGAATTATTCTTTCTGTATTTGGAGTCAGAATCTTAAGTTGATGGTTGAATCCCAGGAGAAGTAATAGATGGTGTGAGACACTAAACTCTGTATCCTAAAAGGTTGCCACTTGATTTTGTTGTTAGGTGTCATAAAGTCAGTACTGACTCATAGTGACCCAAGCACAACAGAACAAAACACTGCCTGGTCCTGTACCCACCTCACAATCATTGCTACGTTTGAGCCCATTGCTGCTGCCACTATGCCAATCCATCTCGTAGGGGGTCTTCTCCCTCTTTTTTTTTCAACTCTCCACTTTACCAAACATGATATTATTCTCCACAGACTGGTCCCTCCTGATAATATGCCACTTGATACCATACAGGGTCACTATGAGTCAGAACCGACTCCACGGCACATAACCATCACCACTATTTTCTAATATGAAGGGATTTCAAAAAGTTGGTGGAAAATGGAATTAAAAGACAATGGAACATTTCCATGAACTTTTTGAAGCACCCTTATATAGACATATTGTTGTTGTTGTTAGCTACTGTCAAGTCATGGTGACCCCATGCACAACAATCTGACTGTTGTGACACATGCATGAGGTGTGTACATTGGCTGCATTTTCTCAAGTACATTTCTGGGCCTTTCCTTCTCATCCATCTTCACTGGGGATGCTCTGCTGAAAGCTTTTCATCATCATAGCAACAACAACCCTCCACTGACAGGTGGTGATGGCTATGGGTGAGGTGCATTGTCTGGGAATCAAACTCAGATCTCCTGAATGGAAGGCAGTGACTCTACCGCTGAGCCACTGTTGCCCTCTAATATAAGGGTGAAGCATTTAAATTCCTTCCTCCCTGTCTAAGCTTTAAATTTAGCCTCTCTTTTTTCCATGAAAATGCAGTGGCTAGTTGGGCTGTTGAGTTCCTTATGGTGTTTGGTATACATTGGTATAGAAAAAAGATATGAATCTGGACTCAGTTTTTTGGTGAGAAACTTTCCTTTCCTTTCCTTGCACTTGGGATAAAATGCTGAGTAATGGTTTATAGAGTAAAAGACAATCCATTCCTTTTTATATAGTATATTTAATAATGTAGAATGTGGTGCACATCCTCTGTCTCTCTTTAACGGTGTTCTTCCTAAATACTTTCCTTTTCTTTCAGGAAACACAAACCACTAAGCAACATTTCAGCCATCTTCCCCAGAACCAAACTCAACAAAATTCTTTGACCCGAAGCCAGCACACCTTTTCCAAGACATCAGGAGTCACTGAGGAATTGCCCTCCTTGACATGGGTAAATGTACCTGGACATACTTACTCAACCATATCAATATGGAATTAAATGTGAAGACAACATATATATATATATATATGTACCTTCATGTGCCTGAATTTTGGCCTTTGTTAATTTTTTTTTTCTCTGCATGAACAGACCTTCTAATTCTTACTCTGAAAAAGTGATTTCCAGGTATAGAATGTCTCTTTGTGAAATAACAAAGTATTCCCTCTGTATGTGCTGTATGCTACTGAATTAGCTTTAAAAATAAATGTGCTTTCTAGAGAATGATCATTTAAATAAAGATTCATAGCAAATTTAAATAAAGATTCATAGCAAACAGTTTGTCCCCAGGAGCATTATTTCTTGATTTATAGTCTTTTCTTGTATTCACCTGAACTCCATCTGTTTGTTTCCAAGTCTGAATCATCTTGTGAACTTAATCTGTCTGCACAGGAGTGGATGTTCATAATTATACTGATGATTCGGTCCATGTTTTCAGTTGCACTGATTGTCTTGTTACATCCTGTTTTGTATTATGCATGCTGCTGCCAACATTCTCTCGGATGCCTTATTTTAATATAGCTTTATCATCCACATGTGTCAGGATGATGGTAAGGACAAATAAATTTGCAACCCAGTGCACTTTGTACGTTTCTGAAGCTGAAGGGAGTGGCTGCTTTTGTTTATCCTGCTGGCTATTGATTTGTAACCATAGCTGCTATGTGCCGAGCCCGTTACCATAATTTTGTTGTCTTGATCACCCAGAATGTCTGTTCACCAAGACCTGGTCTGGCCCAGATAACTTGTACCCCAGGTAGGTTTGATACTGTTTTTCTGCTCCCCTGCTTTGCCTGCATTTATCTCAGATTTGTTTCTTTCTTGCAAGAGTTTGTAGATGTCCATCTTCTTTCTCCCTGCCTATTCCTTGTATTTTTGTTGCAGTAAACATTGCTTCTGTACTGTTGGAAGAGCTCCTCTCTGGCTAGTGGCGTTCACCTATTTGATGTTAATTATAGCAATTTAGCCTGGAGGGGCCATCGACATCTTTCCCACCTGAGTCTGCTGATTGATTCTTCTAGTCAATAGCTTGTTTGTGTTATTAGGGAATTATTGCACGGTTGTGAAAGTCATGTGATCTCACGAACTCCAGAAAACCTTCCTTCCCTTGTTACCCTAGTAACAACAAAAA